TCCTGCTTATGCAGGGGGTCGGACTCGATGATCTACTGAGGTCCCTTCCGACCCTAACATCTATGAATCTATGGGTCCTCCTTCCTCCTTTTTTTGAAAATGGGGACCACATTGGCCCTTTTCCAGTCCTCTGGCACCACACCAGAGCTGGCTGGCTGGCTGGTTCTGCCCAATCTAAATTCCCCAAACGTATGTGCAGTTCAGCACTTGGGTCCACTTTACCCTAGTTAGTTTGGTCTAAGTGTACCATCAGCAGCCACCCCAGATGCTTTTTTCTCCTGGCATCGAGGGGAACGGGTACGGTTTTCTCGTGATCGGCCTAGCCTTGATACTCTGTAGGAAACTTGGAACGGTTGATTTTGAGATGTGAGCTCCTTTGTTCTCATTTTTCTCAAAACAGGGCTAAGCTTTGAAGGCTGCACAAAGATGGCTAGAATTTCTATCCTAATGGCAGCCAGCAGCCCTGGAAACCCATCTTCTCTTGTTCATTCTTTGCCAGCATGGGGTTTTTCATATTAGACTGGGGAAAAAGGTACCTAGCTGGTTCAGTTCTGGTCCAGCTAACTTTAAGGGGCCACATTCAAGGAGTTGTAACTCGGATAGGATTTTTGCACTGAAATTAGTGGGTGTTTGGAAAGGGATAAGCATCATTGACACTAGCATGCACCGGTGTACACTGCCCAAGAAGGGGCCTAGCCACCAGGTCCTGTAACCAAAGGCTGACCGTTCCAGAGGTAAGTTGGAATTACGCATTCCCTGTAGTCCGTGCTGGGGCCCGTTCTCCTTTGTAGGGACTGAGTGCTGGCAGCCACAGCCCAGCCTGCCTTTCCTAGGACCCGCCCGAGTTTCAGCCTGAGTCCCAGTGTCCCAAAAGAGCCCCTGAAATGGGCCTGAATTGGAAACATTGGTCCCAAATTTATGGCCCCCCTTGGAAACAGGTAGCAGGCAGCACTTATACAGCTGGGAAACTGAGGCATGGCCATTGGATGACTTGCCCAAGGCTGCTGAAGACCCCAGTAGAAGAGGAAGGAGCATAACCCACTTGCCTGACCCCCTCCCGTCCCCTCCCCAGCCTGGCCCCTTGGCCACCTCATGCTGTGTGGCTGTGCCGCTTACCCCTTTGCCCTTGCCTGTCCTTGACTGGGGTCTGTGGGCAGCCCCCTGCTCTGACTTACCGGAGGGGCTTCCTACAGGGTGCGTAGTTTCTGTGTCATCTGACGAGTTACGAGCATCCTGTCCAAGCCCATCTCCTGGGTCTCCTGAGATCCAGGTTCAGCGATGGGGCTCAGGAAGAGAGACATGAAGGGCACCAGATCCTTGGAACTTTTTTTGAGCGGGGCAGTAGGATGGATTTCGGGGACTTTATCTTGGTCCTGACCTGGAGTCAGCCCCACTGGCCACTCTCTGCACCGCGGTCCTCTCATTAATGGCCTGATTATGCTGGTTTCCTTTAATTCCCTTCTCTCTAGCTGCAGTAGTCCTCTCCTCTTCCCATATCGCAGTGAGGTCCAGCACCTCATCACTGCTCCAATTAGATGCCCGTCGGCCAGAGTCCAGGGAGGACAGCTTTAGGCTTATGCTGGCTGAGTTGGAGGTCATGGGAGAAAAAGCTTGGGCTGGCTAGCTGGCACATGCTCTGCAGTGTTTGCACTGGTTTGCCCCCCTGGGGGTGGGAAGATCACACCCCTGGGGCAGGACTGGGGTTGACTGGGTGCCAGAACATGCCCTGGCCAGTAGAGTTCAGGGTGGGGAGGGGCCACGTGCATCGTGGGATACTGGAAGTCTTCAATTTAGGCAGAATAGTTGTCTGAAGTAGCCACACCTTAATGGAAGAGAAGCAAAATTAGGCAGACTAGAGAGAATCCTGCTCTGCAGTGGCATAACCTTAAGCCACTTAAAATATATTAACCCCTGGACTGGATGGATGTTAAGAGCTCCAGAAGCCCCGTGTAACAAAGCCCTTGGTTACTGCTCTTGCAAAAGTGCTTTCTTTGATCCTCTGATCTGTTGTCCACTTGTTTGCCATTTTGCCACTGAACAATCCCCATCCTTTTTTACTATTTAAAAACCTTGTGTTAATGTCACAAATCTAATTGCAATAGCGAAGCAGGAGCCATTAGGGAGTGTTGCACTTGGAGGTTAAGCTGTCTGGAAACATAAAGTTGCTTTTTTTTTTTTTTTTAAGAGGGAGAAATTGCAGTTAAGGACGGCTTGAGTTCTCCTCCTGTTTGACTGTTGGCAAAAGAAATGAAAGGGAGGGCAGCACTGACAGCATGCATCTTGATTGCATTAGATGCTTTGGAAATTTCTAAGCCCTCTACATGGATGATCTTGCTGACATTTGTTGCACGCTACTATAACACTTAATGTAAAGAGTGGTAGTATTTTCCGCATCAGTAAAGCAAACTGTGTCATTTTAAGAGCTTGTATTCTCCGGAAAGATATGCTTGCATGTTGGCATCAGAAGCAAGGGCACTGAGGTCAGTTGTTTGTGGCAGAGGCATGGCGTGCACTTTTTTTTTTTCAGATCTAGAACTGGTCTGGTATTCTGAGACTTGGCATGGATGTTAGCTACTCTTATCTGGAGCGTCTAGGAGCTGGCATAAGTACCACTTAACTTGCATCATGGAGCTGCTGAAGGGTGCTGGGTGACACTTCTGTATCCTAAATAGTTGCTTTCCGAGTCAAATGCATGGTGTGCTGGCTGGCCAGGGGCAGAATAAGAGTTTCTGAGGTTCGTCTCCTGTCCTACTCTATACTTTGGCTCCTTTTTAATGCACAGTTTTGAATTTTTGGACTAGCATGCAAAAGTTCCCATAGGTAGAAAATAAACTTAATTTTACACAGCATGAAATGGGGTACGTGTACCTGAAAGCTTGCAAAGAAAGATTTTTTTTTTTATTTTTTGCAATTTCTTACGTGGTCTAATAAAAGGTATCGTCTCCAAACCAAGAGTTTGGGAGTTTTGCATTTCTTTTTGTCTCAGACCAGTACGGCTACCAAATACATCTCATGACTAGCATGTGGTTCCCAAGAGCCACCTGGTTTTCTCTAGGCACTTTCCCTTTAGGTACTTGCTATTTCATGGGTCTTGAGACCTGCCCTTCTCACTGGAGTGTAAGCACC